ATGTTATGGGAAAGCAGCCTGCAGTGTAGCTGAAGAGCAAACATAAATTACAGAATCAAACGGGGAGGCAGCCTGGTGTCAGCCTCTCCTGCAAGCAGAAATCTAGGGAGTTCCAGCCTTGCATAGATATTCCTCTACATTTACTGCTCCTCATAAGCTCGTTGAACTAAAACAGGTGCACGTTGATCAGAAACTTAAGAGCTTTCACAAGAAATACCTGCAGATTATTTTCCCACAGCTTTCAGCAGAAACAATGCATGTACTCAGAGAACACCTGATACGCTTGAAAGTCACCAAAACTTTGCTTTTTCTAGAAAAAGTTAGAAAAATACTAACCAATCATTAGAAATCTCTACCAACCAATGCAAGTGTCTGATTATAAATGCATTTTACCATACTCATCCAAACTTAACAGTAACTAATTGTTTGAAAATCTATCTCTGAAAAACATCAGAGTATGAAAATTAACTAAAATTAGAACAGAAGCAGAACACCGTCTTCAAAACACAATTCAGCCTGGCTACTAAAACACTGGGTTTTCTTTTTCCCTTGCAATTTGGTACATAGCTGAAATCCAAAACAATTGTAGCAACCCTGAAGGAACTAAAAACGAGGCATTCATGCTAAGAAAGTTCCTCAAGAAGAAATCTACAGGTTGTTCTTTGATGTGAACTGTTGGTAGTGCACAAAGCAGTAGCTGCTCTGCTATGACCCCTTTTTATCTTGTTAAATTCCAAAGGGAAACCAAGTTGGTTTTCCCTAAAACACTGCTGAAAGGTATTTGTATCACTACAGAAAGAAATTAACCTAATCCAAGCAACTAAGTTTTGTATTTGGAGTAAAGGAATGCATCATGAGAATGTTTGAAAGAAGATGCAGTGTAACAAAAACCTCAAATACCAAAGATCACTGCAGCAGCATTCTTGCTGTATGCTGTAGCACAGACAGAGAAAAATACTGTGGGAGGAGAGATCTCACATCAGAGCATTGTCTGAAACAGCAGACAGCAAGGTCCTACTACACAAGGCAAGGTCAATGCAACTGGAGAGTCATCTGTTTAAGAAAACACACTATTATTAGATGCAAGTTATGCAGCACTTGTGCATACTAATAGAATAAAACCATTACCCCAAAAATAAATGTTTTCAAATGGTAGCTTCGACTTTGCTCTCAGCGTTTCTACTTTTTGTGTCTCATTTAAAACATTGAGGTGAGCAACATAAAGAATACTAAAAATACCCGAGCATTTAATTTTTTAATTACTTATGAAATGTTACAACTGACAAATACAATAATATATTCAATTTAATAAGGAGGCTCCACTGAAAATGTTGTAACAAATTATTAAACATTAATTACTGATAGCAATGTAGAATAAAAAGTAGGCCAGAGTTGACAGCCTATTTAAACTACTATGATGTGCCTCAGACTACTGTGAATAAACATTACAGTAAATATAATGGCCCATAGAATACATTTCCTTGTACAAGACTGAAGCCTGCTCAACACTCTCCCTACTCAAAAGCTACACCAAATACATACCAGTTTTGGATGTAAAGAATGCATAAGACAGCTCCATGGAGCACCTCACATAGGCCATAAGGTGTGCATCCCTGCTGCTTTAAATTATTGACTGAAAGAGCTGGTATTACCTGCAGCACCATCACTGACACTTGATAAACTGGAGTAATGTAACGGGCTCTGACAGAAGGATAACTCTGGTGGAGAGTGGAGCTCATTCCTTCTAGCTCTTGTAGTTTACCAGTTTTCAGTAAGTGATGGCACATATAGCTCTTGTTTGAACATGTTGGATTATTTATGAATGACTGGGCAGTTAAGAAAAGAGTATTGTGGATGGCCTACTTTAAAATCAGTGACGTTAATTATGTCTTGCACAGAGATGTCAGCATGACATATAAAACCAGAGGACCAGACTTCAATCTCACAGCAACATATTTACAAATTAACTTTGTTGTTTCAAATAAAACCAAAATTCTATGCCTCAAAACAGAAGAAAAATATTAGAGACCTCCCAATACAGGAAATTCATAGAAAAAAATGTCACCAGTTTATCCTCAGGTCTTAAACACAAGTCTCACTTCAGTAGATGAATGTTTTGCTCAAAAAAATCAGAGTGAAATATGACCAATATCTGGCAGAACCAGGACTACGGAAAACCCCACCCACAAGCAGATATATGTATAGGTTTGCCAAGACAAATAAAGCAGTGTGCAGAGTAAGCTAGACTGCTCTCACATAATATGTACTCTGCCATGTAGGTCCTCAAGTACACGTGCAACAACTCTCTTCTAAATGATTAAGAAGGCTCAAGAAGGGACAGAGTTAATCTAAGGAGAAACATGGATTTCACATTAGCATGCTAATAGCTTTCTAAAAGAAAGATGTGATGAAAAGTATTATTTACAAATTAATCAGACTTCATATTAAAGGTACAGACAGCCATTAGCCTGATGATAGTCATCGCTCAAATGAAATCATCAATGGCTGCATTGTGAACAGGCATGAGAGTAAGTCTGTCCATGCTGGAGCTGTATGACTTGTTCCAGTGTTTCAGTTACTGATATTTTCAAGAATTATATAAAATAAAAAAAATGTAAATTATTACTAATAACACTTACCATTGTAATTTATAAAGTTTAAGAGTCATAGTCATGACCCAAAATCCATTTTGTGGTAAGTGCTGTAAAAACATTAAACAAAATGACAACCCTTGTTCTGGAGCGTGGTCTTCGGTGTTTTAAAGGAAGACACTCTTCAAGAAATACTTTAATAAACATGTATGTAAATTAAACTGATCACTAAAAAAACCTTAATTTTAACACTTTATGAAAAAAATCCCTATGCAAATCATGGACTTCTAATGAAATAATAGATTAATTACTTTTTGCCTCCTTTATAATTGAAGACTTTTTTAACTAATTCTCATTTCAAATCCAAAAACTATTGATAAATTACACCTGCTTTTCTCCAAAGAAGTAAGATGTTTCCAGTGGTTGTAAATCTACAATCCTTCATGAACAGTCACAACCATCACTTTCCAATATGTGCCTTCAATTTTGGTGCAGGTTCTAGTCACTGGTGGATCTTAACCTGCATATTTCTCTTAAATAAAACAGCCCTTTTGATACAAGAAATATTCTTTTCTATGGGTACTTACAAATAGAGCTCAGATTTTTCCATTACATTTTTTTGGATAACTTAAATACAGAGAATTTATTTTCTCATATTAAAAACTCCCAAATCTCAGATTATTTTATCATCTCTTTCATGAACTTGTTCTATGATCTCCAGTAAACAGAGTTTTCAGAAATTTTTTATTCTGCAGTTGGGCTTTCATGTTTCTTGATCTAACAGTTTTACTTTGTGGGGAATTTTTTTTCCTTCTTAATGTGTTAGAACTCTGGTTTGAACACCACACTTTCATTGTACAAGATGTATCACATGAAATCTGCGTTAACTGAGAGGACAGGAACTGCACTGCCTGGTCTGCAATCACAAAGTCTTAATAAAAAATTTCTTACCACGTATGAAAACAGGAACGAACACACTACAGAATCTGAGATTAATACCTCAATATGGCAGAACAAGAATGAAATCTATTTAGATTACTAAAAAAGCAACATTTTTAGTAATCCTCTGCGAATTTATGTAGATTGGTCATGCTCTTTTAGTCTTGGGAATTTCTCCGTCAAGCACTTCCTAATACACAAAATGTTGTGTCTGTTTCTCGTTTCACCTTGTCTCAATGCTCACAGATTTGTTTAGGTGTTTTTGTAATGATCACAAACATTTGCTATTGACTTTTCAGGGGATGAGATACCACAGATGAAAGATGATTATCTGCAGATGGAAACACATGCCTTCTCAAACTACATAATGGTCGCTGCTTTGCAATGATTATTAAGTAGCTTCTTCATAATTGGCAGGTTCTCTGATCTCCTTTCAAATATAAAAATGTAAAGGATTGAAATATTTAGCAAACGCTTGTCATACAAACACAGAGGACTGAAGTATTTAACAAACTTTTTGTCAAACTTTTAGCGAACTAAATACAACAGCAAGGCCAATTCTGCTTCTCACACAAATGCCTCACTACGAAACAAAACATTTTACTATTCCTTGAAGTACAGCTGATTCTTCAGGCATTTCTCTAGCACTCTTAACCCAGCTCTTAAACTTCCTTTATCAGAAGCCCAGTTTGCAGTCATCTGTCTAGGCTCTCCTCTGTATCACCTGTGCTGGTGGCGTCCCACCGTGCAGCAGAATGGACAAGCATCGCACTCAGACACCTTGGTCCTGATTCTACAAACACTTCAGTGAAACTACTTCTGTAGAGTGTTTGCAGACTTTGAGTCATTGTAGCTCAACGACACTTCACCAAGTGGGGCAAAGAGAAGTCTGGAGCTGGAAGGAATGCATTCGCACCTTCATGCCTGGGCGCCAGGGCCTGCAGCACCTGCAAGGAGCGCTTAGAGCCCGCAAGAGGAGCTTGCTGAGACCCACTGAGTGCACCCTTGTCACTTATAGCCACAGGGTCCTTCCAACACCACATCTCCCAATGAGCTGCACCACTTTGGACTACAATTTGCCAGACTTCAAGGTAAAACATTGTTTGTACAATCGCAGTGGAAGAGAGCATGTGGGATAAGGGCAATCATCCCATTTTGCTTTTGCGCTTGGGATTTTCTTGAACTCTCCCGGAGGAAGGCGGGGAGCCCTGCAGCCGAAGGTCAGGCGAGGAGGGCGCAGGAGGGCGCGGGCAGCGGGTCCTGCCGGCGCTGCCGAACATGGCCGAAAGCGGAGCCCCCGCCCGCCCCCGGGCTCGGCCGCACCGGGCAGCCCTTCGCAACCCCCGCCGAGGCCAGCGGGGCCGGAGGTGCCGGGACCCTGCCCCGCGGAGCCCCTGGAGGAGAGCCAGCCTCACTCGGGAGTCGGGGAAAGAGCTCGGGAAAGCGGGCGGGGGCGAGCAGGGGACGCACCTTTCAGCGTCCCGCCGGCATCTTCTCCTTCTTCTTCTCCTCCTCCTCCTCGGGTCGGCCGTGACTCCAGCGGCGGCAGTGCCTCGGTGGCGGAGCGGTCTGCGGGACGGAGCCGCCCCCGCCTCGCCGGGGCTCCACGGCCGCCGCTGCCCGGGGCGGCGGAGGGAGCAAGGCGCCTTCCCCGGCGGGCCAGGGGCGGGGGCTGCGGGCGCGGACCGCCCCGCCGGGCCCGGCAGAGACGGGGGGAGCCGGGGAGGGGCCGGGGGCAACGCCGCCGGCTGAGTCAGCCGCGCTCCGAGGGCGCGGGGCCGCCGGCGAGGGTTGCCCCGGGACCGCCCCTCCTCGGTAGTGGGGAGCAGGGTTCTCCCGCCGGGCAGCTGCCCCCAGGCCGGGTCACTGGGATCATACCCCGCACACGCGGCGGGCGGGGTGCGGCAGCTCCTCCTTGTCCTGCCCTGTACAGCCCCGCGCTCCCACAGGCACCGCGGCGAGGCGGGCGGCTCTGCAGCCCCGCGGCAGCACCGCCGCTCCGGTGCCTCGGGGGGTGCGCGGTCCGGGGCAGCTCCGCTCGCTCCGGGCGGCGCGTGGAGCACTCCACGTCCGGCAAGTGCGGCGGGTCACCCCCCCAGCAGCAGGGAACTGAGCCGCTTCCTCCGGCTCCCAGTGCGCGCCACTGCTCATAAAGGACCAGGCGGCGCCCGCTGAGGGGGATCCCCGAAGACTGGGAGCGCCCCGGGTCCCGTCCAGCCGCTGGGCACTCGCCAGCTGGAGCCCGCGGAAGAGCTTCCTCCTACCGCCCGCAAACGGGCGCCGCCGGCCGAGCGCCGCAGCCCCGCGACCCCGTGCGCCTGGACGCGCTCCAGCGCCATCGCCGTGCGCGCCCCCCGAGCGGGGCCGGCGCGGGGGCGGGCCGGGCCGGGGCTGTGTCACCGCATCGGAATGTCGGCCCGCGCCCCCCGTCCCCCGCGCTGCTCATCGCCCGCAGCGTCCCGGGCGCGGAGCGGAGCGCGGGAACCGCGACGGGGCTCGAGGAACATCATCTCCACGGAGAGCGCGCAGCCTGGGGAAGGGGAGGGGAACACGGCGTGGTTTCCATCGGCGCTGCGGAAAAAACGCAGTTTGGGAGAACTCAGCAGCGCATTTTTGCCTACGAGCTCTTCCATAAGGAGTACAAGAAGGAAAAGAGCCCCGTAAACTTCCAGTTTAGAGGAAGCGTTCTCATTTTTTAAACTGGCGACAGTTGGCCATAGATAACACGTGTTTATTTAGGACATTTTTACGTGAAGGGCAACGATTGTCATAACAAAGGTATGTGGGGATTGTGTCCCAGTGAGGGGCTATAAAACTTACAGTTCATTTACTTCATTCTCTTCCAATGCAAGGAACTCATCATACTATTTTCTATACGACCACTTGAAAGTCAGATTTATCCCTACATATTCTACTCTGTTACCTCAGCAAACACTCAGCACGTCATTGCAATAGTCTTGTGACCATAATACATGAGTACTGATGCCCTGTAAATAGTGATGACAGCAGATAAAGTCTATTAGCACATAGTCTGTTCAACAAATACATTTTAAAAAGCCAGTGAAATTACCCAGTGGTGAGTTAAGCATTTTCAAAAAGTTTATATGTTGTTATTTGGATTTTTAAACAAATTAGGACAGATATAGTGTGTTATATATATAATCATCATGGCTAGGCTTCACGAACGAAGATTTGAGAAGGATTCTATCCACGCTTGCTACAAGCGCGCTGGTGGCTAAAAAGGCCAATGCGAGATAGACAAGTCCGGCTGCAAAAGGCACAGCAGAATATCTCCTTAGGCAGTACTGGCAAGACACGGTTCTTTCTGCGTTGTCTTTTCTCCTCAAGACTGATTCTGCATGTGTTCTCAAAAGAAGCAGCAGTGTTATATATATATTTTTTTTCTCCTGGCTTTACATTTATTATTTATTCTGACTCTTTCCATGGCTTACAGGTTCTGATTATTAGAATAGGGAGAAAAAATGCATCCACTATAGTAAAACACGTTGATATTTTTAGCAGTGAAACATCTAAATCTTTCATTAAGAAACATGAGACATGGCCAGTCTGAACTAATTCAGGTAATTAACTCATAATATTGAGCATTCTACACTGAAATACAGTATAGACTGGATAAAATCCAGGTACTACGGAAAATTTAATATTCCCTTTGCCTCCAGCATGGCCTGGATTTCATTCACTGCATATAGTACCCAAAAAATGCCATAATACAATATTTTGCAAAAAGTAAAATTCGCTTAGTGAATCTTTTCCAATTCATGTTCTGTGTGATCTGTATATTTTTCAGTATTTTCATATATTTAGATACTGAATACTGGCCCAAAATACATTCAATAATACTCTAGTGTACTCTACAATTTATTAGTGTTAGTTGCTTCATAACAAATCTTGCAATAGGTTTTCGATTCTACAATACTGACAATAAACTATCCTCTAGACACACAGGCAACAAGAACCTTTCCATGGAAGCTTTTTCCAGTTTCTCTCTGCTTTTCCATTTTTTTTAAGAGTGCAGGAAAGTTACTATTGCATTATTCCAAGGGAAAATATATATAATTTGTCCTTTACAATGTGTTCACACTTTAATTTTTTTCAACTTGCAAAACTCCAACAATAAAAGATATCCCATCCTGAAAAGAAAGTGATACTTTTTACAGAATGGAAAATTTGGAGAAATCACCATATCCTCAACTTGCCAAAAAATTAGGGCATCTGTCAAACTTCAGGCACACATCAATGGGCCAACTTGGCATACCAGGGATCAATAACATGCTCGAGTACTTTGTTGTATTAAGGATTTCATTCCTGAGATCCAGCTCCTGACCTGGAAATTGAAGACTTCCTTGTTTCACTGAGACACTGGAAGATAATTTAACAGTAAGATTTTTGAACACTGTGAAAGAGACAAGTCGGATACAACAGTGGCAGGTGATATGTACAGAATAATTAGATGCTCATTCCCTCCAGGATGACATATGCTTCTATGAATACTGTAGGAAAGAAGAAACTACCAGTATAACAAAGCTTCAGCAGTGCTCTCTTTCTGAAATGTATTTAGCAATTAACAGTTCAAAAATTGCATCCCTGTAAAGCATTGGAGGATGAGAAAAATTTGAATATGAAGTAATAATGGTGCCTAGAAATATCTAATAAAGGAAGTTGCTACTTAACATTTTAATGTGATTTCCTTTTTTAAAAACAAGTCAAAAATTACACGCAGCTGATGAGAAAGATGAAATTGCATCCCAGCTACACATTTGCAGTTGAGACAAGGCATCTTCTTTCCATTCCAACAGAAGTACATGATCCTCTGCAATGCTGCAAGCAGATTTACTTTGGAAGAAGCGCATTTCCTTGGTGACAGGTTAGAAAGCTGCCTGTTAGGATAGTTAACCCAAGTAATCTGTTTGCCTCCATTATGGTAAGATTCACTGGGTTTGGACCTCTCTCCCTGGTTGTACACACAACAGAAATAATTCCCCTCAACCAAAGTCACTGACCTTTTTTCAAAATTAATTTGTTCCCAAGGTGCCTCTGCAGGCACCCAGACCTCCACTTTCTCTGGGGACTCCCATGCCCGAGCTTTACAGAATTGAATTTTGAGCTGCCTGGCAACCTCAGTGCTATACAGATGAAGAAAATATTTTTTTGCTGAACTTGACTCATGGGTCACAGTTTCTTTTTAACATTCTCAGCCAAGCAGAGAGTGCCTTAAGAATGCTCCAGTTTTCTCTCTCATTGTCCATCAGTGTCTACCCTGTTTTCATGAGAACTCACTGTTAATCATCACACTGTACTACTATTCCATCAGGCTTGACTATATAGAAAGACAACACATCCAGCTCAAATACAGTACTTAAAGGCAGAGAGAAATACAGGACTTTCAGAAAACATCGATGTGTCTTTTAGCTCTTTTATCAGCTAACAGTCTTCTACCAACCATGTATTTTGGAGTTTGGGTTACAAAACTGATTTAGAGATGAACTTCAAAGTGATGCATAAATATTAAATTCCACACATTCCTGTGAGATGGTAAGTATTACTCACATTATACAGATGGGGAAACTAAAGCAATGTGAGTTTACTTGGGCAATTTTCCCATTATGAAAAAAAAGTAACTACAGTGGTATCATCAGTAGTCAAGAATACCTGGCTTTTTTCTGCACTCACTCTGAACTGCACATCACTTGCCTAAACCCTGCAGTATACTCTATAAAGGAATATTTTGTTTTCAATCATGATATTATATAGCAAAATTTTCAAACAATTTATTTAACAAATTACATAAAACACTTAAAATATGCTTTTAATTTAAAAAAAATAGCCAAAAGGTTTTTCCTTGGGCTTTGCTCCAAAATTCACCCTTCAGCTAGGACTAAAGAAAAGCACGCACACTTGCACACATGCAAACAGAAATTCTAAAAGAAAATTAGAAACATATGAAAATAAAGACTGAGAATGTTTTCTTAACTGCACTCTGGTTTCAGTACAGCAAAATTTTCATTGATTTACTAATGGATAGAATTTTTCTTGTGAAGTAACACACAGGCCTTATCTGCAATTAATTCCTTGCTTCCATTAAACGAATTATCATCCTACAGAATTACAGCCCGCAGAAGCAGGGTAGTGACTGCTCTGTCAGGGCAGCTCAGCTCTCTCTATAAAGCACAACCCTACTTAAGTCATAAGGTGATTCCACCCTATGAGGAGAGTTTTTACAGAAAGAGTTTCAGTTGAGACAACTATTATTTTAGTAAGAGCTAGATTTTGAGGCTTTTTATTATTGCTAGATAAATAATCACAACCAGTACAAGTTCTATACTGATTCTCAAAATAATAAATAAATTATACAAACTACTTGAATTTCAGAAATTGTTTTTAAATTATTAACTCTAGACTGGAGGTTTCTTAAGAAGTCTGCTATTCTATGAATGTTACAGCTTTGTAACTACATTACAGACTTATTGTTACTTTATGTGATGTAATGTGAGGTGTTTTGCCTATCTGACCATTAAAACCATCACCAGTCATGGAGGCAATTCTGAAAGTTTAATGAACTTGCTCAATGACTTTC